ATTCACAAAACACTTTAAAACTTAGATGTTAATGCTACAATGCAAACAGAAATATGTGTTACATATGTATGGTGCCCTATATCAAAATGTAGAACATGTCAAAATCTAGTCATCCCAAAAATCACAATGAAGGTGAAAACGTAGATATTAATTCTACAATGTCATCAGTGTCGCCAAGCAAACAGGTACAAATGTAAACACATCAAAACATCCAAGTAAAAAAGGACCGTTAGAGTAAAAGGCAAGCAATCAAGACTAGTTTTCCCACCAAATCATGCAACTGCTTACCGAGCAATCTAAGAGATATGCAAGGCAGCAAGTTGTTTTGTCAATTTCTTGTGCGCGCTAAGTTCAATACATATTTGTACATCACAAAAACAAGAGAGAAGAAAGTGCTTTCACCACGTCTAGTTGTAGCAGTTGCAAAGCGCTATGGACAAATACGTCTCTTTTCTTCCTCGACACTCCACAACGTTTGGTTTTACAACAAGAGAAAGAAATGTTGTGCATCGAAAACGTATTGAAGAGGAGCATACATTTAAATTACCACATTTCTTGAATACCAATCTCCAAATATTTTAATTATTAAGCATTATAAACAGAAAGCGTATATCAAGTATAACCAAAAGTAATATTAAAGATAATTTATAATGGTCAAATCCCTTATCCTGTTCAATCCCCAAAATTTTCTCTAATACGTCAAACTAAAATTCAACCATAGCTGACGAAATAGCACCATGACAATCTTGAAGCTTGGCATTCGAAAGGAGCCATAAAATAAGTTCAACTGCAAATAGACATGTCATATGAAGTCAAAGTTATATCATTTTCAAAACCTACAACAAAATAATTAGAAGTATCCCACTATCAACATTGTTTTACTTTCTCTTCTTGCTTGAGGCAAGCAAATGAAGGCAGAAGAGATTGAGCAGTGATATAGAAAATAATCGAATTATGTACAGTAACTAATATTAGTCACCTAACAAACGCAAAAAGCGTACAATTGCACTTGATTTTTATCACCGGAAGATGATAATCCTAGCTAATATGTGCAGAAGATGATAATCCTAGCTAATATGTGCAGAAACATTAGCTAGGATATGAGTAGTGTATATAAACTCTAATTCCATACTAGAATCCGAAAACAAAATTAACATAGAGAGCACTTGATTTCACGTGAACTTTTGAAGTTCGAACGCTCAGACGATTTCTAATATTGCTATTCTCTTAAACGTGCTTGATAGCGAGTCGTGGTGCATGTAAAACACACTTAACAAGAACTCAAACGATCGTGGTGCATTTTGTGGTTGGCATGTTCTATTACAGGAAGTGCTTTCAAATCTCTTATTCCTTAAAAATGTTGGAATCGATCTACTCGTAATTGTAGTTTTTCTTTCATTTTTTTTATTTATTTAGTGCTATAATACCTCTAACAAATAACACTACTACACATAGAAAAGGTCCAAATATTCTCATTATCCCAAAGTTCACCTAGAAATTTATAGATAAGGATTGTAAGCTCATTTGAAAACGATTTAGTCTTCTCTAGTTATAATTAAATTACATGTAATGGACTTAAAACCACTCAATTTAAATCTAATAAGGTCAGTCGGGCATCTCCATAATGAAAATACAATAAAGAAAAGTAGAATTATTGTTTTGGTCTAGAAGCGACAATTGTGTACATACCAGAATTAACTATCCACTTTGTCATCACAAGGATTACGATTAATCTTCTTAATAACTTCGTGTACTGGAAGTCTTTTTGCCGTATAGATTAGGGAACAAGAACATATTTCATATTTAATTTATTAAACAATTTTAAATTGCCGATTTCATTAATCATATTAATTAGCCATGGCAATAGGTTTAGAATTGGGTATCAATCATATTCATTTCTCTTGAGCTTTAACTTTAATTAGTTAATAATGTATTCAAAAATAAGCAGTTGACTTCATTAGGTAAGTTTTCAACATCATACGTGGAACTTTATCGAAAGTAGGCATATATAAATATTGCAAGTTAAAAAATTAAGTTTTGTACAGATTTAATATATATTGTACGTATATTCTTTTTTTCTTCTTGTGACAGCAGTCAAACTTAGCATGTAAACTGAATTTTAAACATGTTCTATATTTTGTGGTTGATAGGCAGTCGTGGTGCATTTAAAATAGACTCAACACGAACTCAAATAGAACATGCAACATAGCAAGATACCCAAATAAAACAAGATAAAGTTCAGTGGGTGATTAAGTCTTTGACAATATACATAAACAGCTGGCATCCGTAATTATAAAATATGCGACTGCAAGTAGCTATTGCTAAAAGGAAAACTTTGCTTTTGTATAAGAGGATACATTTCAACTTTTGTTTTTCTAATTCCCACAAAATCCATGTCAGTAAATCGTGATGTACAAGCAGCAAAGTTCGATTCATAATATGCATGTAATAGAAATAATAGAAAATCTACTTCTACATATATGTATTCTCTTTGTAATACTTGAAAATCTCAACTATAGAAAATTGTTGTTTTGTCTTCAATTGAGACATAGTATATTGATATTATTGGTGCAATAAAAAAGGGTGTTTGGTAAAGGAAGTTGCATGAATTTCATTTTATAGATAAAGAAGTTCTTCTGTATTCTGAAAGTCAATTTGTTATATATTTAATTAGTAGAAATCATGTAATACATAATAGATCTAAACATGTTGATGTTAGATTTCATTATTAGAGATGTTATTTCACAAATGATTGTTAAATTCAAAAAGATTTCTCCTCATTTAATCCTGCAGATATTGGTAAGGAAGTGTTGCCTTTGAGTAATATAAATCCTTGGATTGCTTGAGTTTGTTCAATATTAAATGTTGTTGATCATGAGGAAATGATGTTGACCAAGGCAGAACCTATTGCACTGTGAATTGGGACTATTGTACCAAGGTTGAGATACGTTAAATTGATTAATTGATTTTGTCAACTAAACTCGCATTTTCAATTGAAGTTGCACATCTTGGAAACACGTTTTTTTTTCTAAATAAATGGATTTGTTGAAATGCTACCATGTGTCACCTTCTATACCGTTGGATCTGGAGACGTTATGGTGTTTCTATTGTACTCATCCTTTGGTTGATTAATTAGGGAAGTGAAATCGATTGGTTGCATTATGTTCTCTAGGAAAACTAAAAATCTCTCTCTCTCTCTCACACACATATTTTCAAATTTTCTTCATCTTCATCTTCTGAATTTTCTTCTTTTTGAGTGATGAGTATCAACTTAAGGAAAGTTGGACAAAATTAGTGATTCCAGTTGCACGTTCTCGATTTAAATCGAGTGAACTTCTATATTTGAAATGTATTTTCACTGAGAAATGTATAATCTTAAACAATATTATTCCTCAAGGGCCATAGATGAACGAATAGAGGATCATAGAAGTTACGAACACATGCACAATCACATGAATATTCACCAAGATCTGCAATTATTTCATGCATCATTGCAACATATTCTTTTAGCATTCACAAGTGGAATACAAACTTAAAAAAACATCCTTAATCTATCTTTGCAACTAAATGTTATAATTTCAATTGATTCACTTCATAATTTAAGATCGCGTATTGGAACTCACACATCGTACTAAAATAAGAACTGGAATGACAATTACATAACAACAATAAAAAAACTACATACTAGTAAACCGGCAGCTTCAAACTTGATTAATAGAACTATACAAGATTGAAGCTTCATTATGAATAGAGTTCACTTACCAAATCAAATGGTGAGACTAGTGTAGCAGCACTTGTGATGCCGTACAACACATATATTCGTTGCAGGTTTACAATTCGAGGATTTGCTCAACTTATGTATACCATCTTTCTCAGCAGCAGCCACATTATCATCATTATTATAATCACGTTCTACGGTTGTAAACATAGGTAAAAAAATCAGTCTCAAGAGCCATGTTTCTTCCGAAAACATCAATTTACGTTCCTAACTCAACAATGTAGAAGAACTTCCTTTTTTTTCCAAAAAAGAATATGCAAAAGACAAAGAAATCACTAACCTTAACATATTACTACAAAAGACAAAAATCTTGCTTGGCGGTGGAGTGAATGACGGTGGACGTCGTTTGCAATCAATTTCAATTTTCATCTCCACCTCCAATCCACAAAAACCCATACACCCATAAACAAACACATCTATCAACACACACAAATAAACACCAAAATGAAAACCCAATAAATCCTTTTCAAAAAAGGCAAAAACGACAAACGCAACCACAGAAATCAGATTAACTTATATAGGAGTAGTGCTAGGCAGTTGGCGACCGACACCTAGAGACCGGAGCAGTGAGAAGATCGTACTTTGTACTTGTGACGTCGTTTGAGGACTGTGTTTTATAGTTTTCGGGATTCCGTTTTCGGTGAGGTAGAGGAGTTCGCCGGTGGTGATTGATTTTGTCACAGAGAGGAGCGAGGTTTAGGGATTCCGTTTTCTCTTCCTTTCCTTCACGGCATTTTGGGTTCGCCGTCGGTGGTCGATTTCGTCACAGAGAGGAGTGAGTTTTAGGGATTTACGGGTTTTCATTTTCTCTTCCTTTCCTTCACAGCATTTTGGGTTCGCCGACGGTGGTCGATTTTGTCACAGAGAAGAGTGAATTTTAGGGATTTAGAGATTTCGTTTTCTCTTCCTTTCCTTCACGGCAATTTTCTTCTTCAAATGAGGGATTGGGGCATACATTTTCGTTTTTGCTCTGCATTTTTTTCTTGAATAATTCAATTTCCTCTGACAATCTTGCATAATTTTGTATAATTTGTTTGATTGGTCAAATCTCATTTAATTAGAATATATTGGGTATTTAAATTTAGCTTTAAGGCCAAATATGTCTAAAATTGACATTCTTGCAATGTCAAAAAAAAGTGACATTTTTTGTAAATACAAAGCCAAAAGTTGACTATTTTGATAATTTTCTCATTTTTTTTTTTTTCTGAATCAGGGGGGAATATATATATCCAAGAGACAGACACATATATGAACAATAGCAGCACTACCTAATGTTACATTACAAGGCAATGACTTTAAAATCTTGCACCTGTATTCTGCTGAATTTGCTTCTCTCAAATATAGTTATGTTTTGAGTTCTTCCCTCCCACCCCCACCGCCCATTTCCGGGTGCCAAATGATATACATACGAATCAGAAGAAACACGAAGGGGTACCGATAATCTATGGATACAGAACAATGAGGGAGGCTAAGTCGTCAAAGCGTCAGGAAGATTGGTTGGAGCTCCAAGCACCTTACCACCAACATCCGGGAAATTTTCATGACTGGGCAGCGGATTTACCTTTCCATTAACATCTATGTCGACAGGATATTTGAGAAGATGGCCTTGCAATGGAGTGAACTCGTCAGCTACATATTTCTTCCAGTTAGTTTCAGCAATACGATTTACATACTTGACACAATCCAAACTTCCAGGCTCCTTCAAGCAATCGTCAATATTTCCCATGTGCTCTGCCCAAAGTGACATTCTGTATCCGTAAATCTGCAAACACACAGAGGTCAGGCCCCGTTTTAATCATAAGCGTTTCACCGTTGTGGTGGATGAAAAAGATCGGTTCATTTTCCAAAAAGAAAGATCAGCTGCAACTATTAGGCAATTTTAGACAATGAGCATGCTTGGCTAAGAACTAACATGTTGTATAACTACAATAATGGCTAACCTGGCCATGTGGATGAGCCTTCTTTTTCGCCCAAGTTTGATGAGGCTGAAAAGCGCCCATGGCAATCTCTGTATCTCTTGAACCGGCCATAGATCGTTGGTTTATATTTGCAGATCCGAGTATCACGTAGTCATCGTCCACTATCATTCCCTTGGCATGTACATAAATCATGAATCTTCCAAATTTTTGTGAAGCTGACACCTGCGGAAGTTCTATTTCATATCTTCGGGGTTGATAAAGAGACTGAAGCAGCAAAAACTTTTTCCTTGGTTTCTTTGTTATTGATAATTTTGAATGAAAATATATTAAAGAACGTTAGAGATGACATGGTACAGTTCAAACAATAAAGTGAATAATATTTCATCTCAGTAACATGAATAGAACATGCATATACAAGAATTATGGTTACCTGCCAATATAGAATTTCTTGTACAGAGGCAGAAGTGGGAACACCTTCAGGCCACATTGGGACTACAACATAAACTGTGAATCTCTGCTTCGCCCTGATTTTACTGGTAATCTTTAATGCCAGCTCCATTGGGATTAAGTTATCAGCACCTAAGGAGACAATAAAAGTTTATCCAAGGAAAGAGACTGTTATATGAGAGTTCAAAGACTAAATATGGACAACCTAAATACTTATAAGCTCGACCTAATTAGGTTGATCACCCCCACTGCATTTTAATTTTTGTTATAGTAAATTGTGTTTTCAAAACAAGTAGCATTTCTTCCTTTTTGTTGATTATCATTTTGGGACTCAATTAGATAAGTAGTCATTTAAGAGCTTCGCCTATGTATATAAATTGGATATCCCAATGCCTTCCAAGCCAGTGTAAAACTAGAATTTCTTAAAAAAAAAAAAAAATGGAGCTTCACCTGCATGTTTGTAGGAGGGCCAAGCATAAGATGACCCAAGGAAATATTGATTCTCAATGTATATGAAATGTTGGGCAGATCTTATCGCCTGAATATAAGCCGTTTGAATGCTCTTGTCAATCACCAGGTTTTTGGCACAGACTAGGTTCTGAAACAGAGAACATTCGAAAAATTGTTTATCACCATAAACAACGAACCAATTTGCATGCGGATAAGCAAGTTCATGATTATTGTGATCTATTGTGTTTGGTATACGAATTTAGACAGTATTTGACAGAAATGAAGTAAAAATCTTATCGTATCGTTCAATATTGTGTACGAAGAATGCTTGTGGAGTTCAAAACGACAAAAGTAAAGTTTAATTCATACTTGGGCCTCAGCCATATGGACGTTCTTGGGAAATCCTTTCAAAGAACCCGAATCTATGGATCGGAAAACCTGTTGACGTCAATATAACCTATCAAGAAGAAGTTTAGTCGCCTAAAATCTAAAGAGATTCTTTTGGCAAGAAATTCTTATGAACCTGAATACTCCAGTTTTCAGGATCATCTTCTCGGGTAACCCATAATGATGGATGGTCATTCGGGAACCAATTTGCATGCGGATAAGCAAGTTCATGATTATTGTGATCTATTGTGTTTGGTATACGAATTTAGACAGTATTTGACAGAAATGAAGTAAAAATCTTATCGTATCGTTCAATATTGTGTACGAAGAATGCTTGTGGAGTTCAAAACGACAAAAGTAAAGTTTAATTCATACTTGGGCCTCAGCCATATGGACGTTCTTGGGAAATCCTTTCAAAGAACCCGAATCTATGGATCGGAAAACCTGTTGACGTCAATATAACCTATCAAGAAGAAGTTTAGTCGCCTAAAATCTAAAGAGATTCTTTTGGCAAGAAATTCTTATGAACCTGAATACTCCAGTTTTCAGGATCATCTTCTCGGGTAACCCATAATGATGGATGGTCATTCGGAACAGTTGTGGAGGGACTGGTTATCCACGAAATGCGTTCAATCTTTATCAAAGCATCATCATGCCAATGTGATATTCTTTTAAAATGTCGTCCAATCTCCAACCATTTTGTGGCTTTCCTCCACCTTTGCTCGAAGTTTGTGAGCACATCATAAGCAGCTGGTCCTTCAATTTTGCAGTGTAAATCATGCCATGGTTGTCTTGGGCTCTTTGTTCCTGGCTATTACAGAACAAGAATCAAGCTATATCGATCACAAAATTAAAAGGACAAAAAAGCATATGATCGTAAAACTGCATTATGCATACGTCATAATGAATATATGAACTTTTTTTTTTCTTTGAGGAGAATAATTATAGAGATGCTTACAGGAAATGTCGGATTATGAAAATCATCCTCAAAGACAGTGTTGAGATCACGAAATAATCGATGTTCAGGTGTATCATAGCGGCCATCACAGAGGTCAAGACCACCGATGAAAGCAGTTATCTTCCGATTATTGCCTTGGCCTTGAGTGTCCACAATCACACATTTCTGGTGGTGCGTATAAAGTGTTCCTACAACCTGAGTAATAAAGAACATTATCATAAATGCACTTTTCTGCTGGTGAAGTTATCTACTTTAGAATTTTCTCTCAATGGGAAGCCTAATGAAGAGAAATTTTTAAGCAGCAGTCTTGACTCGAAGCTAACATTCGTTTATAACCAAATAATTACTGAGTTTGAACTGAAAGGAATGCACGAAGAAATTGATAATACATATTAAGGCATGCCTGTTGCTTGAAAATGCTAAGTTTACTGCTTGCATATCGAGGTGACAGCACACAAATGACAGATGAGTGCTTGAAAAACTTCCGAGTTTCTTCATCATGAGTTTGCATTACTCCTGCCTGCACTAAAAATGGCAATCAAAACGATCAATAGAATGACAAAAGGAAAATAAATGAATGTTAAATGTTACTTTGGTACTTCTTTTGCCATGCTATGACTAATCCAACATTATCTGACAACTTGGTATGGTACAACATATTTCTATGAGTTGGAAACGAGCATGACTTTATGATAACTGATACAAGTTCTAATTTTTAAGTACCAATCAACAGCAATAATATACTGATAAAGTAACATGACATTTCTCCTTCCACATCAAATTTCAGTTACATTATGTTCTTCTTGTAATTGCATCACTTGGACTATTATTAGCTCACTGTCATTACGAATATGACTTGTTCGCTGTTTCAACAAATCTCCATATCCTAAAATTTGCCGAACTAATCCATAACCAATTCTGAGCAAGATAATTGAACAGCAGCAACGTCATCAACATTTGGCAGTTCTTAAGTTCATTTCTACCATACTTTTGATATTCCCTCACGGGCATGTAATTCTAAACTTGAAGTAGAAATCAGAATGGAGATATGGGATAAGAAAACAAACCTTGGTATATATCTTGCTGCTTATGCTAATTAGTCATTGTGTTTCGACATGGGAATAGAAATGCGCGTACACTTATACCCAACAGCAAATAGAAAACATCTTCCCCCAACTACAATTGGAGTTTAATTCGGAAAGGGTGTGGGACAAATTGTTGGTAAATTTAATTGGTAGTGTATGGAGTGGAATTGGGCTCCCATTTACTGTATTTGTGTTTTAGACACCGGATTTACGCTTACCGTATTTGACAATTGCTTACCATATTTGACAGTTCAATTCACCGTATATGGCAGCTTACCGTATATGCCAGACAGCTCACCGTATTTGGTAGCTTACGTATATGCCAGGCACCTTACCGTATTTGCACCTTATCGTATATGTTGCCTACCGTATTTGCAGAAAGCTCACCATATATGGCAGCTCACTGCATTTGCAGGCGAAACTCACCATATTTGCACAAAATTTGTATAAAGTATTTTTATTCATACACTAACTAAAACAACACAAATTTTTTCACTTACAAATAGAAATACCGTATATGTGAAATCTATTTTTCACACATATAACGAATTAGAAAAAAAAATTATTTTATTTATCTATTTCTAACATAAATTTAACAAACAATATAACATAAATTTAACAAACAATATATGAGTCAAGTATGTTGCAAATGTGTAAATCGTTAAATAAATAAATCTGTAAAAATAAAATGCAAACTAAATAAATAGCAGATAAATTTTCATCACGAGGCCTGTGTAAACACAGTTTCCTTAAAACAAATTCGCCCCCTCACCGTAGTGCTAGAGGTTTAGTTCGAGCGCCTGTCTCCTAGGATATAATGGTAACCAGCAGAATTCGAGCATTGCGATTCTACTCCGACGAACTCGACGAGTGTTCGAGCAATATCACCTTACTGGAATGGATACATGAGGAGACGGAACAAAAACAAAAAATAGAACTGTATCTGAGTTTAAACTGTTGGAAATTGCAGACGAAAATTTCAGTATATAAACTGCTGGAAATTTAGTGAAATTATATAGGTTGAATCTGACTATTAGTTTCTGCATTAACCATTGCAGTTTTTGGAGTTACACTTCGATTTCGACCATTGGAGTTTTAGGAGTTTCAGATACTCAAAAGAAGGTCCGAAGGCTATTTCTGTCTGTGATTTGCACCCCCCTACGCGCGCACGTGGAGATAGCCTCTATACTACACATGATCACTCCATTCCAATACATAACCATATATAAAGTGGTTTTGGTTTCCATGTTTTTCCTATGTGGGACAAAGTTAACTATAGTTTTCCCACCAACATAGACCATTTCCAACGGTCCACTTTAAACTCCAATTTCTCATTCACCCGAACTTCATTTTTGACAAATAAATACATGACTTCGATATTCTCGCGGAGGACAACACATATCAACTTTGATATTCCAAATTGGACTAACGGGTCCCCCAAAAATTGTGCCAAAAGTGAGTCGTTCTCTCATTTTTTCCAACAATCCCCCACGTGAATAAAAATTGGGAGAGACACGAAATGTGAGACATAAGATTTTGTGATAAAGTTCAACAGTTGAATCCTACATAGGATAGGTAGGTGTTGCCCTTTAAACCCTCCCTTATGAAAGCATATTTATTTTACTGGCTGACCAATAGATGCGATTTAAACTGTTCTGCCGTTTGTGTAAACGATGATAAACTTTACACAGGATTCTTCTTAACACCCTTCAGTTCTCATTATTATGTTCGTTTTGGCCATGAATATATGCCTGGTTCTGTGAGAGTTTCTAAGAATTGAGCCCCACACAATTCTTTTAGAAGCGGCCCCACTTCTTTCTCACATAGGTGATTTTTTATTACAAGTAACCCACATTACTTGACTTGATTTTCGACGCGTAAGAATCATTAAAAGCCTATTGCTTAACCTTCATCCTTACGGGCATCACTGTTATATCATAGGAATGGACAGGAGGTGATACCCCTACAGTGATTTTATCAAGTCTTTACAGTTAGATTGTCCCTTAAACCTAGATCTTGGGATCTTCAGTTAACTAGGTTGGGTTTCCTTTGTAATGACTTATTCTTTTAAGGGCTTGAGTCTCATTCCTTTCGATAATTTCCCAACTAACTCTCTATTTAACCCATTGGTTAGCAGATCCGCAATGTTATCCTTTGACCTAATATAGTCAATTGTAATAACTCCAGTTGAGAGTAGTTGTCTAATGGTATTGTGTATACGACGTATATATCTAGACTTACCATTGTACATGTTACTCTGTGCTCTTCCTATTGCTGATTGACTGTCACAATATATGCAAATTGCAGGCACAAGTTTGGACCATCTTAAAATATCCTCTAAGAAGCTGCGCAACCATTCGGCCTCTTCACCACATTTATCTAGGGCTATAAACTCAGATTCCATCTTAGATCTGGTTATAACCGTTTCCTTAGAGGATTTCCACGAGATGACAGCACTTCCCAAAGTGAACACATATCTACTGTGGACTTTGAGCCTTTTATATTAGATATCCAATTAGAATCACTATATCTTTCAATGACTGTTGGATGTCTAGTGTAGTATATTCCATAGTCACGAGAATATCTTAAGTACCTCAGTACTCTTACTATACCTTTCCAGTGATCATTTCCTGGATTACTCGTATATCTACTCAATTTATTGATTGTGTAGGCTATGTCTAGTCTTGTACAACTCATTAAGTACATTAGACTTCCAATAATCCTTGAGTATTCTACTTGAAAGACACTTTCACCCTTATTTTTTTTTATAGATGTTGACTTGTATCTATTGGTGTTCTGGCCAAGCCAGTATCATCCTTACTGAACTTTTCCAAAATTTTGTCCACATAATGTGACTGGTTTAGAACAAGCTCATCTAATGTTCTTGAGTTTTTTACTCCAAGTATAACATCAGTTAAACCCATGTCTTTCATATCAAATCTTGAATTTAATATATTTTTAGTGGATTCAATCATCTTATTGTTACTACCAACAATAAGCACGTCGTCAACGTAAAGACATAAAATGTCATAGCCATCTTTAGTGTCTTTGACATAAACACATTTGTCATATTCATTAATTTTAAATCCACTCTCTATCATGATATTGTCAAATTTTTCATGTCATTGTTTGTGTGCTTGTTTTAAGCCATATAGTGATTTCACCAATTTACAGACTTTCTTTTCCTATCCTGGTGACGAAAACCCCTCGGGTTGTTCCATGTAAATTTCTTCTTCTAAATCTCCATTTAGAAAAGTAGTTTTAATATCCATTTGATGTACTTCTAGATTTTGCAAAGCAGCAATCGCAAGCATCACCCTAATAGATGTTATTATCGTCACTGGAGAATACGTATCAAAGTAATCAAGGTCTTCCCTTTGTTTGTAACCTTTTATTACTAATCTGGCCTTATATTTTTTGATAGTTTCATCTGCTTTTATTTTCCTTTTTAAAATCTATTTGTAGCAAAGTGGTTTGCATCCAGGAGGAAGATCCACTAGCTTCCATGTATGATTTTGTAGTATGTAATCTATTTCACCTTTAATGACGTCTTTCCATTGAGGTCCTTCTGAGGAATTCACAGCTTCTTGATAACTTTGAGATTTGATTTCTAGCATATAGGTCAGAAAATCAGGACCATAAGACTTTTCTGTCCTTTTCCATTTGTTGCGTCTAACATCAGTCTTCTCTTCTAATTCTTCGTCATGATTATTTTCAGTCATTGTCTCATATATTCGTTTAGAGAAGTTGGCTTCCTCTTTGGACTTGTATGGAAATACTTTTTCAAAGAATGAAGCATTCCTCGATTCCATTACCGTGTTTTTGTGTATGTCTGGAATTTTTGAATCATACACAAGAAATCGATAAGCACTGCTATTACGTGCATAGCCAATGAAGACGTAGTCTATAGTTTTCAGGTCTATCCTTACCTTCTTTGGTGTTGGAACAACCACTTTTGCAAGACACCCCCATACTCGCAAGTGTTTATAAGTAGACTTTCTTCCTTTCCATAACTCATAAGGGGTCTTTTCCAATTTCTTTCGGGCCACCTTATTTAAAAGGTAATTTGCTGATAACACAGCTTCCTCCCACATGTTTTGAGGTATCCTAGAACTTACTAGCATTACATTCATCATTTCTTTTAAGGTACGATTTTTTCGTTCAGCTGCACCGTTTTGTTGCAGTGAATAAGGTGCGGTGGTTTCATGTATGATTCCGTGTTATGCACAGAAATCAGCAAACTGTGCTCCATACTCACCACCTCGATCATTTCGTAGTATCTTAATTTTCTTATTAAGTTGAGTTTCAACTTCATTTTTATAGAGAACAAATTTCTCTATAACTCCATCCTTGCTTTTAAGCAGACACACATAGCAGTATTTTGTGCCATCGTCGACAAATGTAATAAAATACTTGTTGCCACCTCTTGTTTGTACAAGTTTTAAGTCACAAACATCACTGTGAATTAAATCAAGTAGTTCTGTGTTCCGTTCAACTGACTTAAAGGATGATCTTGTCAATTTTGTCTCAACACAAGTTTCACACTTATGTTCGAAATCATTATGGAACTTGGGTATGCAATTCGAGTTAACTAGTCCACGTAAAGTATCATAGTTAACATATTCTAGTCTACCATGCCACAAATTGGAAGATTCAAGCAAATAAGCAGAAGAATTTGATTTATTCAATTTTGGTTTGACAACCATTACATTCAACTTAAACATACCGTCGGAAACATAATATTTTCTGACAAACATTCCACTTTTTGATAGAGTGACTTTGTTTGATTCAAATACAATGCGAAAACCATGCTCATTCAAAAGCTATCCAGACACTAAATTCTTACGAATTTTCGGCACATATAGCACATTTTTTAGAGTCAGCTCCTTTCCCGAGGTCATCTTTAGAATCACTTTTCCTTGACCCTTGATTTCAGAGGTTGCTGAATTTCTCATGAACAGCTTCTCCCCGTTCTCAATTGCTTCGAACATAGCAAACTACTCTTTATCAGAGTACACATGCCTTGTAGCACCGGTGTCAATCCACCACTCTTTAGAGTTTGAACCCACCATGTTCACTTCAGAAATAACAGCTGCAAGATTCATTTCTGAGACATCTTGTGCCATGTAATCAACCATATTTGCTTCTTTCGTCTTCTTCTTTAGCATTCTGCACTCCGAAGACTTGTGGCCTACTTTGTCACAATTGAAGCATTTCCCTTGAAATTTCTTCTTAGAAATTCCACCTTTCGGTCCGTGCTTGGTCTTTTTACCACCGGATGGCCCAAACTTGTTTTTGTAAGTCTTACTGCTTTGATCATGCTCCACAACATTGACTTTAGCTACACCAGGATTAAACCACTTCTTTTCTGAACTTTTGTTGTCTTCTTCAATTTGAAGTCTAACAATAAGTTCTTCAACATTCATTTCTTTTCGTTTGTGTTTCAAATAATTTTTGAATTCTTTCCATGCGGGGGACAATTTTTCAATAATTGCTGCCACTTGAAAGGTTTCACTCAACACTATCCCTTCTACATAAATTTCATGAAGAATCACTTGGAGTTCTTACACTTGACTGATAACAGTTTTGGAGTCCACCATCTTATAGTTTAGGAATCTACCGACTATAAACTTTTTAGCCTCGACATCCTCAATTTTGTATTTCCGGTCCAAAGACTCCCACAACTCCTTAGCAGTTTTCATCGTGCTATACACATTGTATAGCGTGTCTGCTAAACTATTCATAATGTAGTTTTGGCATAAAAAGTCCGAATGCTTCCAAGCATCAAGTGCACTGACTGCTTGAATATCTCCTTCTCCTTCATTGAGTACAGAAGCAATTTCAGTCAAGAATCTCACAAGATTCAAGGTGGTCAAGTAAAACAGTATTTTTTGCTGCCACCTCTTGAAATTCAAGCTATTGAATTTCTCCAGTTTCTCTCCATAATTAACCGAAACAGTAACCGTTTGGCCAGTTGTTGGAGCCAAAATTTGACTCACAACACGACTAGGCAAGTTAGCCACAACAGAGCTTGGCCCTTGAGCCATAGTAGAGCTCACAACTTGATTTCCAGCAGGAACAGTTTGGGTCACATCCATATTGATTGGTTCGGCAGCCATTTCTAAAAATGAAACAATTATTAGTTTTCAATAAACAAATAAACTTGTTTACTACCAATATGTATTAAGAAATTTGTCTTAAATTTGTTGGTAAATTTAATTGGTAGTGTATGGAGTGGAATTGGACTCTCATATACCATATTTGTGTTTTAGACACCGGATTCACGCTTACCGTATTTGACAATTGCTTATCATATTTGACAGTTCAATTCACCGTATTTGACAGCTTACCGTATATGTCAGGCACCTTACCATATTTGCACCTTACCGTATATGCTACCTACCGTATCTGTAGAAAGCTCACCGTATATGGCAGCTCACCGTATTTGCAGGCGAAGCTCACCGTATTTGCACAAAATTTATATAAAGTATTTTTATTTATACACTAACTAAAACAACACAAATTTTTTCATTTACAAATAGAAATACCTTATATGTGAAATCTATTTTTCACACATATAACGAATTAGGGAAAAAAACCGTTTATTTTATTTATCTATTTCTAACATAAATTTAACAAATAATATATGAGTCAAATATGTTGCAAATGTGTAAATCGTTAAATAAATAAATATGCAAGAATAAAATGCAAACTAAATAAATAGCAGATAAATTTTCAACCCGATGCCTGTATAAACACAGTTTCCTTAAGATAAATTCGCCCTATCACCGTAGTGCTAGAGGTTTAGTTCGAGCGCATGTCTTCCAGGATACAACGGTAACCAGCAGAATCAGAGCATTGCGATTCTACTCCGGTGAACTCGACGAGTGTTCGAACAATATCACCTTACTGGAATGGACACAGGAGGAGACGGAACAAAAACAGAAAATAGAACTGTATCTGAGTTTAAACTGCTAGAAATTATTTAGGCTAAATCTGACTATTAGTTTCTGCATTAACCATTGCAGTTTTTGGAGTTATACTTCGGTTTCGACAATTTGCAGAACGCGGACAATCCAAACTGACCAGTTTTTGCTCCGTTCGTTTTGACATTCGTGTGCGTAGCTCGTGCTCGCACCCAAGTTCAAGGTCCGAAAGCTATTTTTGTCCGTGATTTGCACCCCTCCCTGGATGCGCACATGGAGAGAGAGCCTCTATGCTACACATGATTGCACCATTCCAATGCATAGCCATATATAAAGTGTTTTTGATTTCCATGTTTTTCCTATATGGGACAAAGTTAACTATAGTTTTCCCACTAACATAAATTATTTCCAATGGTTCACTTTAAACTTCAATTTCTCATTCACCGAGCTTCATTTTTGACAAATAAATACATGACTTCAATGTTCTGCGGAGGAAAACACATATCAACTTTGATATTCCAAATTGGACCAACGAGCCCCACCGAAAATTGTGTCAAAAGTGAGTCGTTCACTCATTTTTTCTAACACGAATGACAATAGCTAAATAATTTAAAATTATGTTTTTATTCATTCCATTCTCCATTTTATATAAAAGTCATCCTAAATATCTCCTTCTAAGCTGCTCACTTCACCATTTTTCTAAAATTTGCACCTGCATTTAACTAAGCTCTCAAGATTGAGAATCGTGATACTAGTATCAGATAGCAAACAGCACTACATACGATGGATGCCAAAAACCATTATCAGACAATCTATACCAGATAACCTTTCTGGTATAAAAAACATTGACAAGACAAAGACTCAATTATGAAAAAAGTGTACGTGACAGACTTCGGAAAAATTGAGTCCGCACTATGACGAGATGTGATTAAGACTAAATTTAGTTAAATGCTCGCATCCATCACTCAAATTTAATCTTCTAAATGAGGCGTTCAACAATATATATAGGGGGTGTTTGAGCCACATTATTTTGATAATAATGCATTCTTGAATAATGTATTGATGAGAAATGTGTGGTTAAAAAATAAAGAAATTTTTTTGATCTGCGTGTAATATTATTTTATTGAAAAATGTGTGATTAAAATGATATCAAATCACTGTTTAAAAATATATTTTTTTGAAATAATTTGGCAGGCCGATATTCATAATTAAAATTCTTACCGTGTTAATGAAGAACTTGCTGTGAGAAGTCTTGTCATCCCAAACCAAAAGCAATACCCTTACCCCTTCTTGAGACTTGTACTTGAGCAACTCTCCCAAATTCAAAAACCCTCCTTCCGGCAATGGCTTGGTTTGCTCTCTCACCAGCTTAACCTTGTGGTATATCGACCATCCAATGACGTACACCACATGGTGAGCTTCCAATATCGCATGGCAAATATCCTCCCAACAGTTTTCGTGCTCGAAAATCCTCTTCTCATCCAATTCTATCTCCGGCAGCATTCCGTCCTGAACGTGTGCATCTTGATACAATGTCAGCTTCCCCCCATGGCGCAATGGGAAATAACTCTTCTTCAATCCATAATCCTCCAAAATACCATTTGAATAAATCGGATTTTTGGAACAAGGAATGAAGGTCATTTGCAATCTAATCGCTGTATCGGGTTTCGGAGGCTTCCCATAGGATCCGATAATTGGGACCCACTCGTCAATGAACTCACCGGAGGCGATCCTCTTGGCGGAGACGGTGGCGACGCCGATTAAATCCGCGCCAAACACATCATTATCTTTCACCTGAAATTCCACCTGCGATACAGGATGAGCTAACGGGATCTTAAAATGCTCATTCCATTCTGGGGTCTGCGAATTAGAGATCACTCGCGTACTCGCCACCCGAGCTCCGGCTAGGCAAACCGTAACATAAGGATCACTCGTGATGATCTTGTGATGATGCTGGTGATTTTTCCGGCGCGAGGAACTAAAGAGATTTCCACAAACGTCAAATGCTGTGAGACAGCGTCGGAACGGCTCCGTTACCAGGTCCATATTTGGCAAACAACGAGCTTCGAGAATCTTGAGATCAAGGTCCCCATGGAGGTAAATAATATTCTCTGAACTCTCCTCTGCCATATTTAGATTGAAAAGAATAACAATCTAATGGGCTGTAGCGGACGGCGGTGGTTCTGATGTTAGCCAACGGTGGGGGAGTGGAGGTTGATGAATGGAACAGTGATAATGGGTTTCGGGTTTCTTTTCATGTTACAAAGGGAGGACGGCAGTTATATTTCTGTTTAACATTAGTTGACACGTGGATAACCAAATTTGAACTATGTGGACCCCATGTTTTATTCAACTTAAACACTGTGTGAGGTCAACGCTTGGTTTCGTGAAAGAAAAGGAAGTTCTATTTCTTGATTTTAGGTTTTTTCTTATTTAAAGCGAGAATAAAGGAAATGTTTGACATTCATCATTGCGTACACAATCTCCGCCCAATAAGGTAAAAGTGTCATTTCTAACAAAGGTGTGATTTTTGTACAACTTTTGCTTGAACCCACATGTTTTGCATGCATTGAACATCATGTCAAATATCTATCTAACAACGTAAAATCATACGTAATCATTTAAATCTCTTCTTAAACACTAATAAATATGCATAGATGATCATCAATGTGCTAGATTTCTTCCATACAAGAAACTCATAAGTAAAATTAGAACATATGGGCAAAAAAAAGTTCAACAAAATAAAGAAAGAATGAAGATATTATTTTCTCCTAAAAATTTGATAGCAAATTAACAAAAACTAGTTCTCTACATCTTATAACCATAGGCTGCATTTTTCTTTTTCATCCACACTATTTTCTTTCCTACCTTACAGAAATATTGACTCCAAATAAAAAGATTACCAATAACAATAAATACAGACATTAATACACCTTTTTGTATTTCAAATCCTGACTTGAGTCTCTGATTCCACATAGCATCCAAGATTGACTTCTAAAATTGAATGATTTAGAGAGGCCAAAATGGGTTGCCATGAAACTGGAATTAAAGCTAAGGCTCTACAGAGTAGGTATGGGCAATGGTGCAACTTGTAGTAGGAGGAGCTGCCTTTATCATGATGCTTTGAATGAATGCTATCATCTGTACAAAAACAAAACTTCAGTGCAATGAATTTATAGTTGAACCACTACATATTCATGCATCAGTATTTTATCCCCCCACCCCCTCGCC